TGAATAAACTGTGGACTTTCATTAATAATAACATATCAATACTGGCTCATTAATTGTAACAAATGTATCATACAATTGGAAGATATTAAGAATAGGGGAAAATAGGTGTAGAGTATATAGTTTCTGCACTATCTTTTCATCTCAATTTTTCTGTAAATCTAAAATGGTTCTGAAAAATAATATCTACTTTAAAAAATTCAGGGGACATAAATGTTAATGTTATAATGGTATAACATTATATAACTCTATATAGTGCACCTCTTCCAAACACAGAAGAAAAATGCATGCTCTTCAACTCAGTGGAAAATTTGAGCAAGCGATCAGAAAAAGTAATGCCAAGGACATAAATAAACCTGCAATTCACAAAAAAATTACAATGCTACATAAGCCTATGCAAAGATGAAATTCATAAGGTTGTATAAGGATAAATGAGATCATGCACTTAGCATAGTGTTTTGTATACATTAAATGAAGCTATTAAAATATAACTAATTCTTAAACAAATACAAATTTAAATAACAAAAATATATACATATGTAAGTTATATATTCATATATGTATAAGTTATATGATTATATTCTATATATATTATACACATATATAAAATCTGTATACATAAGATCATATTGGAAAATACTGAGAAAACTTCTGATGCCCAAAGTTGACAAAATACGATGGAGAGACAAATCCTATCATAATCTGGTGATAGCAGTGTAGTGGACCTGACCTTTCAGGGAAACCCTTTGCTAGTATCTTCTAAAATTAATAAAAATTTTAAAGAATAAAAATAAAGTTAACAAAAATGTACATATAATAAAAGTATTAATTTACATATTTTACATGAAATATAAATCTATATATTTATACCAATCTAAATACACACACACACACACACATATATCCTTTGAGTGAGTGATTTCACTGCTTAAAATTCATTCTAAAGAAATATTAGGATGTACTGTTGTACAAGTGTACAAAGATATCTATACATCTATTCACTGCAACAATGTTAGAGATAAAACTAGAAATCGTACAAAAGGTTACCAACAAGCAGTTAGTTAAACAAACATAACTGAACATTATTATGCAAAATGTGGTAGATGTGTATATACTGACATGGGTAATTGTCTAAAACAAATAATAAACTGTAAATTTTTTAAAAAATTTTAAAAGAAGGGAATAAACCAGTTTAGGGCTATTTAATCTGGGGTCTTCCATATACATATGTTTCAAGAAAACCAAAACTGCATGCTAAATTGTGTTTACATATGTAAGTGCATTTTCTAAGAGAAGTGTCTACAGCTTTTACCAAATTCTTAAGGGGATATGTGGCCCCCTGGAAGGGTCACTAAACAATCACTAAAAAAAGCGCACATTTCTGAGTATCTAAGGAATGTAGTTTAGGTTATACTCAAGTAAGAAAGACTTTGGGGAGGAAAGAAGTGCTCTCAATTAAACTTTTAAGGACATATTAAATGCCTCTACCACAAAACACACAAAATTTTATTTCAAAACTCTTAAGTCTAAGGGTGTGAAGGAAGTTATTCTTCAGATGAGCTTATATTCACTGATTACAAACCTCAACCAAAAATTAAAGATCAAAAACGGTCTTCAAAATGTGTGACTAGTTCATGCTTAAATTACAATTAAAGTAAAATAATTCAGAAGCAAAAGGAGGCAAAGATTAAGTAGTAGTCCCATTTGTCACAGTCAGGTTGACAATTATGGACTAGTTATTCATACAAACAAAGATCTGGGAGTTATGTAGCCTTACCTAAACTTTTTTTTTTTTTTTTTTTTAGGACAAGTGGATTAAAATAAGACAAGAATCATTGGGCTGAGCACTGGGTGTTATATGAAAATCAACTTGACAAATTATATTAAAATCTTTTTTAATTTTTAAAAAGAAATAAAAGGAATAGAACTCAAAAAAATAAGACAAAAATAAGTTAGGTCTTATCCATAGTTTTGTGGGCTTTCTTTGAGCAAAATAAGTAAGTCTTTTCCTGAAGGCAGATTGAGAAGGGGATTCCCATACCTTTAAAACTAGTAAAGTAAATTAACATTTCAAACATTACAGCTATGAGAATCAATGGGACTTAACGAAAACTGGAATAAATGAGTGTAAAACTGCAGGGATACTCTCTATCCTGAAATGAAAATATACTCAGAACTGTGGTTCTCAACCAGGAATCATTTTGCCCTCTGAAGGGACATCTGGCAGCCACTAAAGACATTTCTGACTCTCAGGACTGGAAGGTGCTCCTAGTGCTATGGACGTGGATCAACATCTCACAGACTCACCTACGGACTCAAAATTGCCAACAAGGCCAAGAAGTGGCCTGGGGGGACCACTGAATCTGTGCTTTGAGACAATCAGCTTTACAAAAGAAATCCTAAAACAGAGTTTGCTTATTTGTTTCAAAAGACTGACACCTTACCAAATATCATGGGATCTATTAAAATGACACAATTTTCAAAATGTTATTTAAAAGAAAGTTATCAATTCAATTCCCAGTCTATCTAACCTTTTTAAATTTTGCAAAAGCCGTACGGAACAAAAAAATGAAAGACAATGAATTAATGCTAAAAGAAAAAAGTTTTCTACACACACATATCCTATGATGCCCACAAATAATACTGAGCAAAAGAAACCAGACACAAAAGACCACATTCTGCATGATACTGTTCATACACGGGTCAAGAGCAGGCAAAAACTGATCTCTTGTTAGAAATCAGAATAGTAGTTCCTTTGGAGAGAAAGAAAAGGTAGAGATGGAAGACAGCATAAGGCGGACTTCTGGAATGCTAATAATTTTCTGTTTCTTAATCTGGGTGATCGTTATATAACTGTGTTCACTTTGTGACAATTCATCAAGCTGTATACTAATCAGAGCAGTTTATACAGTCAACACTTTTACAAAAATGTTTACTCGTACCCTAAAAACCTGAGCACTTTGACCCACACAAACCTAAATGAACAATTGCAACTGCAAAAGTAAAAGTTTTTTGGTTAAACAGGCTACCTTCCAAGAATTCAAGAAGGAAGGATGACACCCCCAGAAAGCTGTAAATACCATACTCAGAGCTCATACAGCATTCAGCTCAACACTTAAGCCACTATGTATCCCTCGGCACAAATCCAAAAATTTGACAAAGGCTTACAAATGCAGTTAAATTTATTCCATGGACAGTTTGGATTATTTCCCCCAATTTAAATGGTGAACTGTTATCGGACAACATGCTCTATGAATCAAATGATGCTTTCTCTTTTCTAATCCCACATTTCCCCAATTTAGTTTAACTCCCCCAAACCAAATCCCCCTTGGCTCTCAACTACTTAGGACTTCTCCAGGCTGCCTCCAACAGTGTCCACCATCGCATCTCTCAGAATCCATCCTCACCATCCACCTCCCCACACGCATGAAAATTCACATTAACGCTCATTCCTAAGGCTAGTCCTCTCCTACCAGACTTCCAATCTTCCCCAGGACCTCATAAATAGAATCCAAACCTCACCACCCTCAACCCCCTAATATTCTCCACCAACTCGCTTCCCAACAGCACCGCAAAACTAGGGCACATGCTAACCCCATCTTTTAAATCCTCTCCTACCACATGAAAAGTCCTGCATCTGCCCACAATTCAGCTCGGTGGCCACTGTAGCTAAGATCTCCAGGGCAGCTCTCGGCTTTAGTACCCCCTCTCCTTTTCCTGTATTCAAATCCATCCCATTTCCCCTCCACCCCCTGCCCCAAACTCTGCTCTCTTCTTTCAGAATCTTTCCTAAGTACCGGGGCAGGGGTAGCTGAATGAAGGGTGAAGGAACGTGCTCCGTCCTGGGTGAAAGCACTTGCTCCAGTCTCAAGCCCACGGCCATGTGCACGGGCTACATACAGGGTCCCACGCTGGACTGGGAAACCCAGTCTCAACACTTCCTGACTGCAAGGCCTTGGACGCGGAGTTTTACATCTCTGAGCCTCGGTTTGCTGAACTAGGAAATGGGAAATCATAAAAATAGCTATCTGAAAGAACTGCCAGGATGCAATGAACTACTGGCCATTGACCACTCTGCACAAATCCTACGTGGTAAAGTCTCAGGAACTGACAGTTTTTTCTTAGGTCCTCTTCATGGAAACAGGATACAAGAGAGGAGGTGAAAGGTACTGTTCTGGCAAGGGAGAGGTGGAGGGAAGAAGTACCACACAGACATATGGCTGATACAAAAAAAACCTGTCAGATCCCTAAGTACTGTGTTCTCTCTTCATTATCCCCTTACACCGTGGACCCGAGAAGCCCTCAAAGCCCCTGCTAAAGGATGGGGTAAGACACAAATACATACATCAAATCGTCCTGCCACGGGGAGTCATTTGAGGAAATGAAGGAGCAGAGTGCCTCCTAAATTGCTAAAGTGCGATCCTTGGGGTCTGAGAATTAGGAAGGAAACCCCAAAGCCGCAAAGGATTTCACTTGGGAAGCTGAGGGGAGTTACTTCATAACAAGGCGATGAAAAGTAAACGCTAGAAACCATAAAGATTCCTCAACTTCTCCCGGAGGGAAGAGTACCACCGGCTTCTCCGCAAGTGGGTTGCGAAAGGAAAGGCGCCTTCCCTGTCTCTCAGGTGACTCCCGGGCTTCCCCGGGTCCCTTCCCAGGAGGAATGAGGAGGAGGGTCCGCGCAAGGGAATCCCCAACACCCCAGCTGGGGAGAGGCGGACTCAGGCCGGGGTCCCCAGGGACTTCCACTGGGTCTCTTCCCGTCTTTTTGCAGCCGATCTCCAGTAACGGGACCCCTCCGGGGGACTCGGGGATCTCCCAGAGCATCGGACATCGCTGGCTCCCACCCCTCACAATCCTGAAGTCGTCGGTGCCCCGAGTTCTCCCCGGGCACTTCCCCGGGTCTCCCGGCTGGCACAGGGTCCGCCCGCCGCCCACGGGCTCTCCTCCCAGGCCTCCAGCCGCCCCACCCCCTACTGAGCGCCGCGAGCCCGCGGGCTTACCTGCTGAGAGGGCAGCTCCACATGCAGGGCCCGCGCGGCAGAACCGGGTGGCAACGCGGCGGCCGGGCCCGGGGGCGGCTGGGGCACCGGGCCCCCGACCGACGCTGAGGCGCTCATCCTGACCCAGGGGCCGCCGGGCGGCGGGGCCCGCGCTCTTCAGGCATCCGCCACCACAGCGTAGCCACGACCCGCCGAGCCCCTGCAGCCCAGAAACCCGCCACTCGAGAGGCAGGATTGCTCTATCCCACCTCCGGCCGCCGCGGCCGCTGGCTAAGGAAGAGCCATATTACCGCAGTGCAACCCCCACCACCCCGCCGATACCTGGCTTGCTCATTGGTTCCGCTGCCCCGGGGGCGGGACCAAACGGCGGAGGAGAGATGTGCTATTGGGTAGAAGGTCTGTCTATCGACGGCCGGAATGGGCTCGGGGCGGAGGGACCCGGGGATGGCCTAAATTGCGTCTGTCAAGCCGGGGTGAAACCTGGGGCGTTGCTTCTTTTTTCCCCAGTCTAATTGGTTCTTTCACTACCATGGGGCGGGGTCTCCTGGTAGTACCGCAAGGGCCATTGCTCTAGGTCGGTGTCAGTTGTCAGTAAAGGGAGAGAGGGGCGGGGTCTGATTCGGTAGAGCGCGCCTGGGTTCGTTGTCACGTGCAGGAGGCAGGAGAGTCACCTGATAAGTGAGAGTCAGTCCTCGGAGCCACTTCCGCCCGAACCTAGTTGCCATGGTAACCGGCCTCCCTTTGGACGGCGGGGACGTTTGGCGCCAGCTGGGTCGCGAAGGCTGGGCTACTGTTGCAAGTTCTTTGAACAGCCTTTTTAATGTGGGGCTCGCAGGAACATGCGAGTATTGAAAAAGAATATTTTCTCGTTCGGCAGGCCACCAGGCAAGATGCCCTGAGACCAGAAACTTGTTGAGCAGTCCCTGCTCTTCCGTGACCAACTCCGACCCACAAGTCCACTTCTCCCTTCGCATTCCACTAACTAGTACGCTGACTACAGGGTGTGCCAGACACCCAGGACGCTGTTTCACCTCCACCAATGTGTTACTTACCCTATCCCTAGAAAGCGTGTGCTACTTTTCTCCGCTCAGTGCTTACTTGCCCATCAAATCTCAACCGCGGGTGGAGTTCCTTCTTCCAAAAGTTTCCCCTATCTACTCTGGGACCCCGAGTTAGGAATATTGCCTCTACCACATTTCTAACTATTCTATCGCCTTCTCTTTTAATAAGTGCGTAACACACACTCACATTGAATTCCTCATACAAAAGGACCTTGTCATTCATCTGCGGATTTCCGGTGCTTGGTGGATAATCGGGATATGTTTGTTTAATTTTTTACGTTTATTTTTGAGAGAGAGAGAGCGCGTGAGCGAGGGAGGGGCACACACAATCCGGAGCAGCCTTCGCCTTGTCAGCACAGAGCCAAGGGGTGACTCGAACTCACCAATCCTGAGATCATGACCTGAGCAGCTACTCAGGTGCCCCAGTATATTTTTGTTTTTTAGTGAAAACCCAGTCTTCCATGAAGACCTTCTTGAGCATAATGATAGCATCTATAGCGATTGCTTCTATAATAAATAGCATTGAGTCATTCTGCAGGGTATCAATCTGCCTTTTCCCCCTAGACTATGAATTTCTCCACCACCTGGACTGACAGCTGAAAGAACACAGTGTTTTAGAATCAGACACAACAGGATTCAGGCACTTTTGCAATCTTGGCTCTGCCACTTTCCAGCTATGTGTTCCTGGGCAAGCCAGTTCCTCTCAGCTTTAGTTTTCCCATCTGTAAAATAATAAGGTTGCTGTAGGGATTAAGTAAATCAACATATGCAAAATGCCAGAGAAGCGCTCACATACAATAAGTGCACTAAAACTAGTTTAATAAAAGGTAAGCATGCTATCTTTCCAGGGTGTTCAGAAGCCTGAACACACTTTGTCTCTGCCCCCCAGAGCTGGTGAACATGGGTGTCACACTGTCTCCTGTTCTGAAACATCCAGTGGGTCCTCATGGGTGTGTGGTCAGGTGTTTGTGGAGAACGGATTAGTTAGGAAATCCCAAATCTCATCTGGTTCAACTCACGGCATGCCAAGATCTGTTAGAATTTCACACAAAACGCTTCCGTTTCCAAGCTGTGTTAGTTTCCTTAGGTTTCTGTGTCAAATTACCACAAACTAAGTAGCTTACAACAACATCAACAGAAATTTATTCTTTCACAGTTCCAGAGGCCAGTAGCCCCAAATGAAGGTGTCAGCTGGGCCTCACTCTCTTAGAAGGCTCTAAGGGAGAATCTGTCCTTGACCCTTTCATCTTCTGGTGGCTCCAGATATTCCTTGGCTTGGAGCTGCATAATTCCAACCTCTGCCTCCATCTTCTCATGGTCTTTTCTTCTTCTTGCATATTCTTTTCTTTTTCTTACAAGGACCCTTGTCTTTCGATTTAGGGCCCACGCAGATAATCCAGATCTCATTTTGAGATCCTTAATACAAAGACCTTTTTTCCAAATAAGACGATATTCACAGGTTCCAGCATGAGTATGGACTCATTTTCGTGGGAGAGGGAGAGACGCATCATTCAACCCATTGCACAAGGGTAAGAATATGGGCCTATAGAAGGTCTTCTGGGTGGCTCAGTTGGCTAAGTGTCCGGCTTTCGGCTCAGGTCATGATCTTGTGGTTCATGAGTTCAAGTCTCATGTCAGGCGCCGTGCTGACAGCTCAGACATGGAGCCTTCTTCTGCTCCTGTGTCTCTCTCTCTCCCTCTGCCCACCCCCCCAAAGTAAACATTAAAAAAAATTTTTTTAAGAAAATGGGCCTATAGAAATAGAACACAATCACTTCTTTCTCCTTCGAAGGTCAGCTTTGAATATTCGCTAACTTTATTACTTGATTCATTCAACAAATGTTCATTGAGGGCTTCTCTGTGTCAAGCCCTTTGCCAGGTGCTGGGAAATCAGACTGAGACTCAACCCCAGAGGAGCTGCCCTCTTTATAGGGAAGTCCAATAAGTAAACAAAGAGTGACAAGCCAGTTGCTCAGTCTGAATGAAGTTCAGGAGCTGTGGAAGCCAGAGAAGAGGGTCAGATTTCAGTCACAATAGAGATGACATTTAAACTGGGTATTGAAGAGGGCACCTGGGTAGCTTAGTCAGGTAAGTGTCCGACTCTTGATTTGGGCTTGGGTCATGATCTCGAGGTTTGTGGGATGGAGCCCCACATCAGGCTCTGTGCTGACAGCATGGAGCCTGCTTGGGGATCTCTCTCCCTCTCTCTGCCCCTCCTCCGCTTGTGCGTGCCCTCTCTCAAAAATAAATATATAAATGTCTTTAAAAATTGTTTAAAAAATAATAAAATAAACTGGGTATTGAAGAATGAATAGGAGTTCGCCAGGTAGAAAGGGAGAAAAGGATATTCCAGCAGAGAGAGCAGGATCCATTCTTTCTACAAGCTTTTAAGGAGATTCAACTCTGTACCAGGCCAATCTCTGGGCACTGGAAATACATACCTCAAGTAAACATCCCTTCTCAGACCTTTCCATTCACATGCCACTAACACCAGGAGAGCTGGAATGCTCACCGCAGGGACAGGACAAATACCTAAAATACCTGCATAATATTCAAGGTAATGAATGTTACATGTTAGATCCTTTTCCATAACATGGCTATATTTGTTTAAACATAAAAATATTTCTAGGGCACCTGGGTGGCCCACTCTGTTAAATGTCCAACTCTTAATCTCAGCTCAGGTCATGATCTCACTGTTCTGACTTCGAACCCTGCACCAGGCTCTGTCCTGACAGCATAGAGCCTGCGTGGGATTCTCTCTCTCCTTCTCTCTCTGCCCCTCCCCTGCTGGCTCTCTCTTTCAAAACAAGTAAATAAAAATATATATATTTCTAGTCACTTAGAATTAAATTACTATAATATTTATACAGTGTTATACGTCCTGTAGAGAAACATGTATTCAAGTTTAAGGAACGTGGATTCTAAGGTAGGCAAATACAACATACATGCAATGATAGAAGAAAGATCAAGGTCAAGTGGTAATAGAATGACTGACTCTACAGGAGCTGGTGGGCAAAGTCAAATGCAGGCTTGACAAAAGTCTTAAAAAATGATTGGGAGTTTGATAGATGAACAACAGGGGGTTAGATCTGTTTGGTTCAGGGATGATTGGTGGTTTAACAGCTAACTAGTACCATGTTGGATATTGAAGCCAAACATTGTTGGCAGGACCAAAAGCTAAAGTCACCCCAGTCCACTTTACCTCTTTTTCTTCCTCTTTCCTTATTCTCTAGATCTCATGGGCATGATGCATTGGGTAAATAAGGGCAAGAAAGGCCAGGTTGGCCTTTTGATGTCTCAAATTTAATTAAATTAGATCTATCCCTTTCCTATAACAGAGTCATCTTTCTCCCATTTACTAACTCACTTAGCCAAACATCATTCAGACTTGTAGCAGGTGCCCAGCCAGGGCACTGTACTTATAGAAAGAATGCAAAGAGAATCCCTGACTGCAAGGGGGTCATAGATAATTTCAATACAAAGTGTTAAATGCAGCCATTGAGATGAGGTATAAAGTATAATGGAAGCACAAAACAAGAAGTTGCTAACTGCTGTGTGCGGTGCCAGAAGGCTTTCTAAAGAAAGTACTCTGGGCAGAAGCATGAGCGTTGCCTGAGCAAAGACACTGAGGCAGAGGACATGACATTGGCCTCCTTTAAGGTGGCTGAAATAAAGGCTGCGTGGGGGAAACAGGCAAAGAGGCCAGAAAAGGAAGATGGGGCCGCGTAAGAAGAACCTGACTGCAGGCTGAAGAACTTGGCCTTAATCTTAGGCAACGGGAAATCATTTGGAAAGATCCTCAGGCAGCCCTCAGGCAGCTTTCAAGGGATAGGATTTGAAGAGCAAGACTGTTGCAAAAATCCAGGTGAGAATTGTAAAGCAAAGAGATCATTCCCCCAAAGAGCTTGTACCCAACAAAGACGGGTCCTTGGGCAGCATTTCTCCTCCTTTCTCAACTCTTCAAGGTCACTTTTTTGAAAAAGCCTTCACAGATGTGACCTAATGGCTACTATCTCTGGGCTCCCACTATGGCTGCCTGACCTCTCTTAAGTACCGGTACCCATGTGCCTAATCATGTGCCTAATGTGTTTGTCTCACCCACTGCACTATGAACTCTTGGTTTAATTTCATTCTAAATTCCCAGCATCCTGACACAGAGGACAGGCTCCATAAGCTTCAATGCGCAAATGACTGACTGAAGGAATAAAATCTGTGAGTGAATGGATGAACGCCCGAGT